CAACAAAACAACCAAATAGTTGATATTCCAGGCTTTCCGAAATTACCAACATGTGAGAGAAATTTCCCAAACTTCTATAAGATATTATTTTGAATCTGTCTATCTAGTATGTAAGGAGAAGCAGACCATACCTTAGAAAAAGGAAAAACTGAAAGAAATTACCAACTATTTTCAGTAATTACCAAGAAAATGGAGAAACTAGCGAAAATTCTTTACAATAGTATGTTGAATAAGTCTATCTGGTATATAAAAAGAGGCAGGTCCTACCCTAGAAAATAGAAGAAATGAAAGAAATAAGTAGTTATCTTAAGTAATTAATAAGAACATATGGAAATTACTTTAAGTTCTATACAATATTACTTTAAATGAGCCTATTCAGTATATAAGGAGAAGTAAGCCTTACCATATACAAGAAAAAAGAAATTAATAGCTCCTTTCTGTAATTACTCAAAAGATACGAAAACTACCGTCATTTTAAAACAATATTATTTTGAATAAGTCTATGTATCATATAATGAGCAAAAGGCCTTACCCTACAAAAAAAGAAGAAATTATAGACATTTTTAGCGATTCTCAGTGAATATAAAGAAAATATGGAAATTACCGAAATTTCGATACTATATTATTCTGAATAATTCTATCTGATATATAAGAAGAAGAAGACGCTAGCTTTGAGAAGGGAAGAAGTCAAAGGATGCCATATGATTTCGATCCTTAACTAAAATACTTCTTATCTCTTGTAAACTTGATTATTTTTTAAGAAGTTTTACCAGATGTTTTTCATCAAACATTATTGAAGATCTAGATATTTACTAGTAATATTTTCCTTCTTTTTCACGCAAACTTCAAGCTTATTTTATTTTGAAGAGCATTTTTAAATAAGAAATGAATAGATTGAATATGAATATTTTATTGAAATAAGTGAAGATTATGCAATGCGAGCAAATATTTACATTCTCAAACATTAAAATGGAATATATTTAAACAGCACAATCCCTATACACTTATTTAAAGTATGAAATACAATGTAATTAATTCTGCTGATAGACGAGAAATGGTTTTATCCAATCTATTTTACGGCGCATTTCTTCACCATTCTTTTAGTTTATCTTCAAACAATATTGTAAGAAAGTAGTTCATATAACATGGAAAGATCACGAAACAACATTTTATGTAGGATAGAACTGAAGTTTGCAGGGTGTAGGTGTGATGTTGATGTGAATATAAACGAAGATGGTAGTCATACACACACACTCATCCACATCCCACATGTCAAAATAAGATCACATTCAACGTTACTTCTGCAATAATTAGCGTGATGATGCTGCTTAAATTGTAAATTAATGTCGTGTAATGAGAAGAATCCTGAAAAATACTATTACTTTTTTCGGTATTTTTTCCTCATGTTTGAAATTTTGAATGCATTTTCTCACCATATTCGAGTTCTAACTTGCTTTACCGCATTCATTGTTATGACATGATGTATGAGTTTTATTCATTCAATGTTAAACGCGTTATCGTGTATTTTTAATTGCTAACGGTTGCTATTGCGTTAATCATTGGGAAATATACGAAAGTAATTCCAATCGAGTAATTCTTTTATTTCTGCATTTGTAACAGTGCATGATCGTTCGTTTCGGTAAATGGCATTTCTTTTCAAATTATGATCATTTGTTTTCATTATAGTAGCGACGAGCCTAGGATATTTATGAAATGGCGCGCTGCGATGGAGATGACAACGACGGACTATTATGATCATAAAACGTGTGTTCAAGATCTTTAGAGACAGCATCAGTTTATTGCCAAGCCTTTTCTACTAGGAAAAACCGAATTTTTGTTCTCAATATACGGCAATCGCTACCTCCTTTAAATTCGCCACAGCATTTTAGCAATATATGATGAAGCTTATTATACGAATCTAAGTGCTTATTTTGAAGCTCACAACAATCCGAGTTAAATATGTCTTAACATTGTGGATATCATAAGACGGCATGGATCTTTTAAGTCGTACATCAAGATTGATATAAACTTTCTTTTTTCTTCGAGTGTTTACCAACACGAAGCCGTTTAATATCGATCTCAATTTTAGATTGTTTATATATGATACATTAAAGCAATAAAAAAGTGTTTCATTGGTATGCAGTTGTTGACTGCGTGATGCAATTCTTCGACGACATTATCCGATTGCCGAAAAACTTGTGTGGGTGTGGGTGTCAAGTTGAATTTCGATTCATTTGTTTCTACAGTTTCGACCTTCATAAAGGAAGCTACATTATTATTCTATTATTCGATATTCATTGTAAGAATATCTCCCCAAAACGGCAAAAAACAGCTGCCGTTACGACCACCGTTTTTCCGCAGTTTTCCACTTATTTTCATCGTGTCAACAGAAGCACTCTAAAGCCATCCTAAGACACTCACTGATAATTGATGATCGAATAGAGACTGTCTATTAAAGCAATGAATACTATTTTTTTATTTACATTCCTTCCATCGTCTCGTTTCAAACTATTATTTAAATAAACTAACTAATTTTTTGACTGACATTTATCTCGATGAAACATTCATCTGTAAGTATTTTCTTTAAATAAAAATATTTATTTTTTTTTATTTTAGAGTAACTTTAACCGAAATACTTATAACAGTAAGTATGTTATTCCCAAAAACCTCATTTATTTATTTTTATTTAGATACATTTCAATGAAACATTCAATATTGAGTATTTTATTTAAATAAATATTTTCTTTTTTTATTTCAGATTTATTTCAATTGAAATACTTAACAGGAGGTATTTTATCCTAACTAATATATTTATTTATTATTATTTAGATTTAACTCAATGAAATATCGAAAAGTAAGTATTATATCTAAATAAACATATTTATTGTTTTAATTAGGTTTATCTCGATCAAACGTTCAACAGTAAGTATTCTCTTTAAGTAAGTACTGATATTTTTTATTTTAGACTTATTTCAATCTGAATGCGTATAACAGTAAGTATTTAATTCCAACAATTATGTTTTTCAGATTTAACTGAATGAAATATTGAATAGTGAGTATTTATTACAACATAACATTGCCTTTACGGAAGATGAGAAGGGGTGAAAAAACAGCATAAATAAGAACCTAAACGACCATATCCCTCCCTGATACTAATGGCGGTTCCACGTCGGATACGGCCTTAAACGGCGCCGTTGACGTTCCGGGACAAAACGGCCCTCAATCCGAGCTGACGGAAAACGGTCAAAAAACGATGAAAAACGGCGACCGTTTTTCATCGTTTAGAGCAATAATTACTCTGTTTTTTCAACGTTTTAGGCATTTTAAGACGTCGTTTCATACGGCCTGAATGATGGACCTGGGGCAATTATATTCACCTCTTTAGATTATTGTGTAGAATTAGATAAGATGATAAACACGATGAATACAATTAGCTAAAGTATAGAGTAGGAAAATCAATCTTGCTAATTATGTAGAATAGAGACAAACTATCGATTTACGCTTGATTGTTCTGACAAAATCACACTGAATTGCTAGAGGCAAAAACATCTATTTACACAAAATCTGGTTTTGTATAACTATGGAAATTGATTGTTGTAAAGTTATGAGATAAAATGTAAAAAAAAAACAATTAAGTATATTCTATGCATAAATGTTTTAGTAGATTTGCATACAATGAAATAGAGTCACGGCTTGAATATGATCCTTCTTGTGACGATATCTGCACTTATCTTATTCGATAGACAAATGAGAAAAAATAGGTCGATTAATGTTTTTCAAAAGTTCGAAGCAGCTTGACTGACGTCATTTCAACTCAATCGTTATAGTTTAAATTTCATTTCTGTTCGTATTTATTGAATCTCCAAGCAAATATGAAATTGTTTGCACATCATCCTGACAAATGATTTTGTTCTGAGAACCTAATCACGTGCTGGCTTTTAGAAAGAATATCAAAAGAGAAATAAAAGGATAGCTTTACTTTGTGTTATTTTCTTTGCGAACTGATACAATCCAGCAATGATCGTGAAATTGAGTCTTGTATTAATATTTTTATTATTTCATTCAGTCACTAATGCTTTTCACTGTCCAAACGATGGTCATTTTGCAAATTCAGAAGACAAACATTCATTCTATCAATGTGCATATGGTATAGCGTACTTGATGCAATGTCCAGCTGGATTGGTTTGGAATCAGCAGATTCAAACTTGTAATTGGGATACTGCTACACGTAAGTCGATTCTCCCATCAGTATATCTCTTAAATAAAGCCCAGCATGCTTTTCACACATGAAACAGATTAGAGAAATCGTTTGTAGCATGTTTTCTTAAATAATAAGACGGTTTTTTAATTAGCTACTATCAATTGTGATAATGGAAAATAGTACAATTGTCGTGAAAATAGCCAATGGTCAACGAAAGGAATTTCTATTGTTCGTTCAGCAATAAATTTGGATCCGATTCGAAACATTTAGGTTCACCATTTGGTATACTTGTTGATACTGAACATGATAGTCTTTATGTTGCTGATACTGACAATGATTGAATTCAGGGATTCAATCTGACAGCTCTTAACGTCAGCGAAGTTACTGTGGCGAGTGGTAATGGTGCAGGCAATTGCTCGAATCAATTAAGTATGCCTCGAGCAATTTTTGTCGATCGCAATGAAAATATTTACATTGCTGATGATGACAATAACAGAATTCAAAAATGGCTAAAAGGTGCTACCAGTGGCATTACAGTGGCTGGAGGACATGGTAAAAGCAAAGGACTTAATCAAATAGGAGCTTGCCAGGGTTTTTATGTTCATGAAAAGACAAACTCATTGTTTATATAGGACTTTTATAATGATCGTATTGCCAAATGGATTCCTGAGAAAGATGAAGTGTTATCGTAGCAGGCACCGGCGTTGGAGGGTTCAAAGCATATCAATTAAGTGGACCACGCTGAATTTTTATTGACCAATGTGAAACGATTTACATCGTCGATTTATGGAATAATCGAATGCAAAAATCGAAAAAAGATGCAAGCGAAGGCATTACTGTAGCTGGGGGTAATGGAAAATGTTCAGCTGATAATCAACTCTTTAATTCATGGGATGTTGAAGTCGATCAATATAACAATGTCTACGTCATTCACACCGACAATAATCGAATCCAAAAATGGAGTCCTAATGTCATCAGTGGCGTCACCGTCGTCGGCGGCAATGGATGGGGCGATGGCATTGGTCAATTCAAATCTGCTATTAGTGTAGGACTGAATAAACAAGGAAAAATGTATGTTAGCGAGCAAAGAAATCATCGAATTCAACGACTCGACATGAAACCAGAAATGAATAATTGTTAAGTTGTTCTTACAATGTCCCTATTCACAAATAAATATTGAAATTTCTTATTGATAGCCTTTTTTTCTTTCTAGGTTTGCTTGAGTGATGCTTGTTTGTGTAGCCTTAAATTGTTACAGATCAATCGAGCATGTCTAAAGAACAATATCGATCAAAAGATTTAGTGATAATGTCGTTTTCTTCTCACCTGTCTTCTGCTTGACCTAAAGAATGAATTTTTATTTGATTTCTTTCGATTAGTAGATCATTACGAAAAATGGTGGAGACCGAGCGTTTTTCCAATTACAAACATATTCGTCATCAACAATACAAAGAACAATGAGATTTTTCATTGATTCAAATCAAATCTATTCGTATAACAATATATTATTTTACTCAACACCGTCCATTTCTATCTTGAAATTCGAACTTCCAAATTGTTTCACTTGATTGATAAACTCATTAATATGATTCATATATTGTGATGAAATGCATACGCATATATGTGTATGTTTTCTCATCAAATAGAAAGTACAACAGTGAAAACACTAATAGCAGTAAAAAGAAGTTTGTAGAAGTACAAATTGCTTATATCTTAGAAAAGAATTCTTTTTTTACGATTCCAAATAATTAAATGCATGAAAATAATTGAAATCATTCTCAATTACCATGTCGAAGAATATTTTGAATTTCAAATTGAGATCAAACGGTTTGTTAGAAATCAAATTACTTACCAAGAAAAAACATGATTTCAATGATGCAAACCAGAACCAGATAATACGCCTCAAGAATGAAAGCATTTCGATGACTAATAAATTTGTTTTTAGTTGTGAAATTACATGATTCATCATATGTATATTGCACCATTTCGCCATTCGCTTACCCAACATATAAAAAAAGGTGAATAATATCGATTTGTTTATCATTAAGTAACTCATATTCCGCCGTGATAAAGTTATTGAATACCTCAATAAAACCATCAAATTTTCAATTAATTTCAGAGTAAGTCCATTTTGTTTTTATATGACATGTTTATTTCATCTCATCGGTTGCGTCAGAGTATTGATCAAGATTTGTTTGGAAAGTTGCACTGACAATTGAAAAAAAATGCATTGTGTTGTGTTTTAATTAAAAAGGCTTACTAAGGGGAAAAAAATTTCAAAGAGATTTGGACGTTTGAGCTTCCATTTTTCAAGTTTTTATATATTTACCAATACAAAGACAGATAACCCAATTTCGAGCTGGAAATATTGTTTATGCATGGACTCAACCATCGCTAGAATACTTTCAAAGTCTTAGTCAAAATGAATGTTTTCTTAACGAAATATTCAATTTTTAAAATATTTAAAAGTCTACAAATAAATATATATCATTATGAGCGAAAGTTTAGATCGAATTTTCTTTTATTAGATTTTTAAAAAATTGAATAAGATGTCAAAGACGCAGTACATTAGTGACAAGTCGAGAGAAAATATGCAGACAGTCAAAACATTTTTGTTGTTGAAAGCGAGTATCAAATACAAACTTCATATAGTCAGTCCATCAGAATTGTGCATACTATGATTTGTTTGGTGACAGCTATTGCTTAATTTTCGACTCAAATTCTGAATTCAAATATCAACAACTGGCTCGAAAGTTTTTTATCAAAAAACAAATCACATCACACATCATGCTTTCAGATTCAATGAATGATACATGAAATCTGAGCATTCAAATAGAGGATCATACTTTTGCTAGATACATTAATATTCTGCCTATAATTTAGGAATGAAAATTTTCATCATCCATATTCGTACCAAACAATTGTCTCTGCAAAGTTACTCAAATGAGCCATTCTTAATCAATATCGATCCATCTTCTACCATCGAACAACTCAAAGACACGATTGCACAACAAATCAAAGAACCTGCATGCGATCAATTTTTAAGTTTCGAAGGTCTAACACTTGAAGATGAACATACACTTGCATCATATGCTAACATCAAAGATGGAAGTACCATTTCGATGGTGATATGGCGTAATGCTTCTCGTGACAAATACCGAGTGTTTGTTTCGATACCAACAAACGACGAGAAGCGCGAGATCATTGACTTACATATTTTCTATCATGACACAGTGGCCCAAATCAAACAGGCTATTTATGAACGCACGTCCATACCCGTGGTGAAACAAAGAATTATTTTTGCTGGCAAAGAGCTTGAAGATGATCGAGTTTTCTCGAATTATGGTATTCAAAAAGAGAGCACTGTATATCTTGTATTTAGAAATGTGACCCCGACTGTCGATGTGCCACTGCCGCCTGCTAAAGAAATCGTACCGAATGATCGCCGCTGTGATATTTTGTAATTACAATGAAAATTCGATATGAACAATGAATTAGTCTTGAAAATAGGATTTTGAGAAGTTTCATGCTTATAGAACAATGTACATAAAGCCACTTTTGAAATATTCTGTAACATAATACATAGAACTCTATCTAGATTCCTAGAAAAGGCGAACTCTATTTTCATTGTGTTGAATGCTTAATCATTTGAATCAAAATTACTAAACATTGATTCAAAAAATTGCCGTCTTTGATGACGACGTACAAAACGAAGAATCATTTTCTTAATCATTACTATACAAAGAACTCCATTGTCTTTATTTCATCCGTCCTCATTTCTAAGATTGTCAATCGAAAATTTTAAAACTGCTTCGTAAAGCAGCATTCTTTCATCGGTCGAAATATGTCACTTCCATAAGTTTCTTAAATGTGAATGAACTATACAATTGATAAATAATTCAATGTAATTGAGAATACATACAAGAAGCGTCGTTTTTTGGTGATTTATATTCTCTGCCGATTAAACTAAGAAATGGATTGGGTTTATTATGTTTATTGCAAATACAATAAAAAAACGTTTATAATCACTGCATCAAATCTTATTCATTGTGGCGAAATCAAAGATCTCAGTGTTTACTTTTTAAGCAGACAACATAGTAAAGGTCTAAATGCTTTTTGAAACTAGATTGTATTGTAACTGACTACCAATCTATAACATATGGACTAAAGGCATTTGTGCTAATGTATGTGATGATATGAATGCTGTTTAAAACTTTTGCCAACACAGGAAAATATTATTTTTGGACACATGGAATTTCCTGAGAAGGCAATACCAGCCAAAAATGAAATATATGAGAGAATATGCAAGCAATGTGCAGAAAACTGCAAATGCTTCACATGATGTGTTGACAGTGAATAGCGTGTCATGAATAATTTGTTATGGTTATTTCCATGAAATGTCTTCCACGGTGTACAAAAAAGTTCCCCGATTTCAATAAAACTCTGTCAATCGAATGTTGGTACTTGTTTGCTTACTTCAGTAAACAAAATTATAGCATGATAAAAACAAAGCACAATCATAAATCGACGACATTGATTGATCGTGAGTGGATTTGTATTAAGGCACAGTTAGGAAAAGAGGCAAAGGAAACTTACAGATATCAAGTTTTATCAATTCCTCGGTCATTTCAACGAGCAACAAGCGTACCATGCCCACGGACCACAATAACCTGAGCATGACCATTGAAAACTGATGAAATAAGAATTCGATAAAAACAACAAAGGAAAATTAGAACACTACAGAAAATTGTTTATTTTTAAATAGATCTTTAGAATACATGTTTCATGTTGTATATATATAGTATTTGTTTTGATCAAAACTCGAATCTACTAACAACCTTGCCTGAACAATCATCACATTTTCTCGTAATTGTTTGGCGATCATAATCATTACATGAACAATTGGGCTTATATTCTGACTATGTTCTGCTACGACCACCACAGAGTCGACACTCACAATCATCATGGACTGTACCAGAGCCGTCGCATATATAACATCGTGATTTCCGAGATCGATATCTATCATTATCATCGTGATATTGGTGGTGTAAATGACTTGATTGAGGACCCATTTTGTTAGAAAACAAAAAGAATGAATATTGATGATAGAACTAAAATTAACTTACTTTTCTTTCCTAATCGATGTCTCAATAAGTCTTCTAGTAAGCATATCGAAACTACGATAGATCAATAGTTAATTGGAGATCGCATGTATTTCTTTCTACTGATCATATATTTTATTAAAATGATCACTATACTTAATTGTCATTAATTTGGGATTCTTAATAGATCAATCGTTGATGTTTCGATTGTCAATGAAAAAAATCGATCCATCTAATTACGGCTTCGTACATTATACCGTTCTCTAAGTAAATTCTACGTATGTTAAAATTTGTGATTTGAATTTATATGTATCGTATTTAACATGATACAGAGGAGAATTAACAAACCATTGGGCAGGCTAATAAAAGAAAGACGAACATATACATGACAGGAGAAGTTGATAAAAAGCAAGTATGTAATCTATACGATTATACATGGAAACTTCTAACATAGAATACATCACGACATCATAGGAAAAGTTCGATACTTCATGCATGGGGAAATCCTGAATATGATACGTTGGTATTCATAGCACTTACAAATGTCTTAGATTTCTCTATTCGATGAACTGTTTCGAGTTTAATGCGTATTTCTTTTAACTAGCTATAATAGCAGGTGTTAAGTGACGACTACATGTTTCAATGGATTGAGTTCTGAATTTCTAAGGCATCACATACCGATGTCTTATTTATCAATATAAAAGGTAATCTGAATAATCAGAAATCACAAAGACGAAATAAATAAATATAGGACTGTCATAAATAACACTGTATTATAATTTGAAACACAAATCAATAGACTCATGGATCCGCGTTCTCTTGAGAATATTTCCTCCGCAAGGGTATGGGCGTGGGTGGGTGTGGATGTGGGTGGGTGTGAGTGTGAGGGTGTGGGTGTGGGTGTGGGTGTGTGGGTGTGAGTGTGGGCGGGTGTGGGTGTGGATGTGGGGGTGGGTGTGTGGATGTGTGGGTGTGGGTGTGGGTGGGAGTCTGTGTGTGTGGGTGTCGATGTGAGTGCAGTTAGAGAGAAGACGCTCAT